TCAACATTTGGTGTTGAAATCTCGTAATGAAATCGAATCTGATCGCTTCAATTGCGGTGTAAATTCATTGTGAATGTTTGATGTGTTTTGGTGGTTGACAACGGTGTTTGCAGAGTCTCAAAGAGATTTATCGCGTTCTGAAGCCGGGTGGTACTTTTTCGATGATTGAAGTTGACGGAACCGGTAATATACGTACGGATAAAGCCAAGGGTATTGCGGCATTCATTTATGGAATATCGTTATTCCACTGTTTGCCAGTTGGAAGTGATTCTGAAGGTGCATTCCATCACTGATATTGCCTCTAATTGATAATTTTCATACTTGTACTGGACAAGAAGCTCATATAACGAAGAATAATCAAATTTTCAACTTCAATTCGAGTGCTTTCATAAACTTCATTGATATTTACGCTCGTAAATGCCTGCTTATGGATGCAGGTCCAACTGATTTTGTCACTGACTATTACGATTGGTGTGGTTTGCTCTCGGAATAATAATTTCGAGTAACTTATCCAGTCGATCGGGAATTATAAATAGTTTCATTATCGTATTAAGAAATTCTGAGAGAACAAAGTTTATGTCCATTGGATAGTAAGTTTATCTTGTTCGAGTGATTGAGTCAGTAAAATGGATCATTATTAAGTACTTGAATGCTATATGATAAAACTGAATTGGTTTCAGATGCACTTGGACTTGGTGCTGCGTGGGGACGTGATAAAGCCAAGAAATTGCTTTCTGAAGCAGGATTCTCCAATATAGACATCGTTGATACACCATTCTTCGAATCCAATATTTTGTACAATTGTCATAAAGCACCAACTTCGTCGTCGAATGACAATCAGACGCACTCATCTCAAACATAAACTGCCATTTGTTTCTAGTTTCAGTGCACAATAAGTAGCCTCTCAATCCACCACAAATTTCCCTCCACGAACTGCTACTATGAAAACGTGAAAAAATCAGCTAGATGGAACACGAGACAACATTTGCTTTGTTGGAAATTCTTGCTGAATTATTCCCAAAAACTATAACCAAAAAATAAATGAACAAAAACAACAGTTTTGTTGAGATTTTTATCTCAAAACAAATTTATTTATTGCGCAAAATTCAGTGAAATTTTCCAAAAAATTCAACGTTCGTTCCTCAGTGAGTGAACACATCTGTCAAAATTGATTTTCATCAAATATCAA